TAGAAAAAACAACCCTTACTTTGACAGCTTTGTAACCTCAGGATATGCTTGAAGGAGGAAAAACAGTTCGAAAAACGAAAAATCTTGCAGCAGTTGACGTTTCCGGTGTGGTTTTGACAGAAGTTTTTGTTGTTGTCAGCTGATTCATACTAGAAATTATAATCGAGGGAGGGCTTATATTCGAGGGAGGGCTTATATTAGAAAAATAGACAAAAAACGTGCTAGGTCTTATATTTGAGGGATGTCTTATATATGAGGAAACACGGTATATATATATATATATATAATAATTTATTATACTGTTGAACATCGTGGAAATAGCTCTTTATAAGCTAATAATTGATTGATTGATACTAACTAAGTATAATCATAATAATGATGATTAATTTATTGTTATTCTATTAATTACATAGTATAGTATGTGTATAATACACGACTCAGTCCTACAGTACTTCAATTTTAAATCTGTTGAAATTTATTAGTAGTACAATACAGTACTTGCTAATTAATAATTATTTTGTAAAACTTCAGTGTTTTTTATTATATATTTGTTATTTTATAACATTATTTTGGTTTATTATTTATTTTTATTTATTACTCTTAGTCTTTCTGATTACTGATACTTTAATAATTTATAATTAATAATTTAATTTAATATTTAATTTAATACTTTAATTTATTACTTAATTAGCACTTAAATTCACTTTTTAATTATGTTAGCTAAATATATATTTGTTTATTTTAGTTACTCCCTCTAAAAGATCGTGCTTAAGAATTGAGGAAAAATTGGTTCATTCTGATACTCCCATGGTCCCAAGTGTCAAATCCAGGGTCAAGTCATTTATTCAGGATCCCAAGGAAGTAAAACCGATTTTAAAAGAAGTTAATGATAATGAATGCAACTTATTGAACGTACCAGTCAGTGAGAGGAAGGCGCTATGGCAGGGAATGATAAATAAGGAGGGCAACAATTGTGAGAAACTTGATATCCTGAAAGATAAAGATCATATTGTCAGGGGCTCCAACCAATCGTCTGTGAGAACAAGGATGTCTATGTTTGAAAGTTCAAATTTTGCAAAACCCAAACTTTTTGATTCAAAAGAGTTAGCATCACAAAAATATGATGCAAGTGACCTTCGTAGTTTGGGTGCTGGCTCTGCATCAGATGTTAAAAATGATTTTGTTGCTGATACCATGTCAGCAAATGATAAAGCAACTAAAAACTGTAGAGATCCATTTGAAATATCTGACGAATACGATTTTGGTTATGATAGATCAGAGAAACGAACAAGCATTTATAAATTAATTAATCAGCCAGCACCAAAAAAAGTTCAATTAACTTTGAATGTGAGTCACACCGTTAATATTAGCAAAAATATAGAGACTGTCAGTGACAAGAGAACTTGCTGTAGTGATGATCGAGTTAATGAAGAAATTTTGAAAAAAGTTGACAATTTCATTGTAGACAGAAACTCTGGTAGCAAAGAATCAGTTGATCCATTATTAAAAAGACAGAAATATGCGAATGATAATATTAATAATAATAATGATGATGACGATTGGGAAGAAGAAGATGAGGATGATGACAAAGGAAATAAAAGAGTCAGTAACATGAGAAAGTTGAGAAAGTTAGTGAACCAGTGCAAACAGAGCCTAAACAATGCTGCTACAGTCAGTGGTGATGGAAACAAGAATGATAGCGAAGATGATGGTGACAATGATGATGTAATTGCAGGCAATGTGATTAATAAATGCCTCAAGTATTTTGATGACTCAGATGGTAGAAAGCCGCTCAATGATAACGACCAGTTAAGAATTGAATCAAACAAGGACAATGGTGATGGTGATGACATCGGTGATGATGGTAACAAAGTTCCAGCCGTGCTTAGCTTTTTGAATCATCAAAAAAATCTAAAGTCACTGCCACAACAACCACAACAGCAGCCCCAACAGCTACGTGTGGCAGCTTTAAATGCTGAAAAAACAGCTAATTTCATGGCTATTGCTTGTTATGAGGAAAACAATAATGACAATAATAAAATGGTTAATAACAATTGTAATAGTAAAATGAATAACAATAACAACAATATTAATAATAATAATAATAAGGATTGTAATGGAATTGAAAGTAGCAATGTCAATAATATTAATAATGATATTGGCAGTCCTGTAAACAATAAGAAAGACAATAATAATAACAGCAACAATGATAATAATAATAATAATAATAATAATGGAGATGAAAATGTCTACGAGAGTATAGTGAGTATGGGGGAAGAGGATTATGATGACAGGTCCAGTGGTCAGCACAGTAATGATTGTGGTAATAATAATAATAATAAATTTGATGATGATAATAATAATAATAATATGAGTGTTGGTGGAATTCAACTTAGAGATAAAGAGTGCGCTAATAAAATACTTGTAGGTGTTTAGTTATTTATATTATTTTTATTAATCAGTTTTTACTATTATTATTATTGCATACAGTGGAACGTAATTGCACTTGCACTCCAGCTACATGTTTTTCATCACAGCAATAAAAAGAGTTTTTTGAATGATACAAAAAATTTTGTTCTGTGTGGGTATATACATTTTGCCATCACGTGAAAGATAATATATTTCAATTTTTAACGTTAACAATAGATTAAAATTCCCCCACTTACATCTTCGTTACCACATCCTTCATGTTTATGATTCCATCTTGACCATACTTTCTGTAACTTCTTGGAAATCAGTATTATCATCTATTATCAACTTTCAAACGGTGTTATCAACACTCCCTTTTAAGAAAAACGAGATTCAAAATATGCAATGAGCAGATCTGCAGATCTACTCAGTCAGCAAGACTTCATGGTCTCCAGAAAAACACCAAACTCGCATACTTTGTTTTTTTTTTTACAAAGTTATCTTTATCAAAAACTTTTCAAACAAATTTCAGATAGTAAAAGCAGGTTGGGAAGATGCTCCCAAAACTTTTCAACCAACGTTTCGTTGTTTTCTTTTCATTGATACATAACGTCAAAATGTAGCTGGAGTGTTAAAAAATTGTTGGCGCATCTTCAAGCGATAACTCAATCAATTATTTTTTTCAAATATTGAGCAATGATAGATCGCTATTGTACAAAATATGCTACTCAAGTTTGATTATGGTGGTTGCTGTGGCTTTCCTAATGCTGTTAATGCCCATGGTAACAATGCAGTTTCGTTAATGATCAAAACTAATTTGTCTTATTGCATATTGAGACTTTTATTACCTTAATTTAGGAATATATTTATTATTTTCAATGACATAACAAAATTTCAACCGGAACACACACACGCGCGCGCACGCACTTAATGAAAGAACTTCTTAAATGGTATCACTTCATCATTCAATCCAGTTTAACACTTTTAAAAAATTTAGCATTACAAATTTTTAAATGCAGCCGCAAAGCTTAAAATTAAAACGTAGCCAGAACACAATTGAATGTGGTCGGAGCTCCCAGCCGATTATACTTATTATTGTTATTGTTGTTATTATTGTTATTGTTGTTGTTATTATTGTTGTTATTATTATTATTATTAGGTGCAAAGGCCTTACAGTTGCTCAGCTGCGTTGAATGGTAGAGTTCAGACAACATCATCAACTACCTCTGATCTTGGGAGTGATGATAATGATTGTGACGTTGGCGGTGGTCATGATAATGATGCCAATAAAAGAGCCACGTGTCTAGGGTTTTTTGGGGAGTCTAAAAAGTAATGATGATGATGACTGATGATGATGATGTCAAAGACGATAATGATGATGTTTGTTTTGTTGGTTGGGCTTTAATGATGATGATGATGATGATGATTGTAATGGACAGGGGGATATCGATAGTCGTGATGATGGTGGTGATGGTAGTTGAAATGATGATTGGAATGATTATGATGGAGGTGATTGAAAATGTACAAAGGGTGATGATGCTGTTGACGATGAAAAGGAGTAGGGCATTGTGGTCAGTGGTGATGTGTCGATGATTGATCCACTGATTCTTTAAAAAATGGAACACACCAGAGTGGGGAAGGTCGAATGTAATCCAGCTGCTAAAGGAATAAAACAAGGAGAGGATGGTGGTGATGGTAGTGGTCGTGCTCATATTCATCGTTCTCTTCTTCTGAATTTGAGTTCAGATGAAAGTCTTGATGATGATGGCGACAACAGGCTGAGCATCAAGGTACGGTGATGATGATGATAGTGGATGGTGAAGATGATAATGGTTGATGATGATGATGACTATCAAATTTGTCTACGCTTGGGTTTAAAAATTTGCAACATTTGGTTATTGTAATTATTATTATTTTTATTATCATCGTCATCTTGTTCATCATTATTAGCATTATCATTTGTTGATAATTTTATTTGTGATTGTCAATATCATTGTAATACCGACCTTGAACTTTGAGGCCTTACTGGAGAAGATACAGATCGAGGAATCCATCCTGCAACAGTCGACCAACGCCTTGAAACAGTGCAACGTCGTCAGCAGCAGCAACAGCAGCAGCGCCATCGCTAACACGTGTGAACATGTCGTCGAGTGCCATAGGCTTATATTGATCTCAAGTTTGTTAATGTTTCTTTTTTTTACAAATTTTTATACCTTGTCTGGAACTGGAATGTCAAAACATGAAGTTTAACTGGAAGGACAACGTTTTGTGTTGATTCTAATACTCTCATACTATAGATTTGAATGGTGGTTGTGTTGCAGACCTCAGCAAATCATTCATTTAGGGATTATACAGAATTTAGCGCTTCTTCTGTGGTTCAATCCACATGTTTGTTATCATTATTTATGTTTATATTGTTTATTAATATTTTAATTTGTTGGATGGCTATTTACTTTATCACTCAGGGAAGAAGATAGAAGTTTATGAGAAAGAGCTAAGAATGAGGCGATCCGATTCGTTACCATGTGGTCAGGTGACCAACTGCAGTGGACGAATAACAATCAATAATCTATCTCTCCCACTCCACAGGGATATCATGATTACAGAAAGTACTCATCATTCTCTCTCTCTCTCTCTCTCTCTTTCTCTCTCTCCCTATCTCTCTCAGACATTCATTTTCTCTTCTTCACTTTTTGTTGGCTAACGAAATAATTTACCATTTTCTTTCATTAGATTATTTTTACACTGAACGAATATTTCCATTAATTGATTTGATATCTGATAGATGAATATTGAACCACGCAGATCCAGACCGTCATTTCTTCATAGTACACTTGAGGTCAGGCACCCAGTTCTTCTTCTCCCAGGTTTTGAGCCCGGCTCGTTCGGCTACTGAACTTCTCATACCAGGACCCATCTCATTTGACGACTTGCAAGCTGACTTTAGAATTATTGTTGAGATATATGCCATGGTATGTTGTGTGATTTGTTGTTGTTTTTGTTGCTGTTGTTGTTGCTACTACTGCTGTTTTTGAATGAATAATGATGCTGGTGACTGTTATATATATATATATATATACTTGCATTCTGACATGTTCATTTTCAATGCTAGAAGTACAAGTTTTTTATTTAATTTTTTATTTATCATATTGTTTTATATTATTTTTTTTTTATCAAAATAATCATTGACAATGCTTTAATAATGGAATCTCTGTTTACCTAGACTCTTTCAGGTGACTCGGCCCACACTTCGTCATCAACCTCGTCGAGTGCTGCCAAGAAACGAACTTTTCTGACTCCAAAGAAAAAATTTCTGCCAAGCAAGTCACCCATAAAAGTTTCAAAGGCCTTTGATTTTCAGAGATTGAATACTTCTTTCAATATTTTGGGCCTAATGGAAGTTTCTGTTGATGATCTCGAATGTTGCTCCAGAGAGGGTATCAAGTTCGATCAGGTTGTTCTTTGTTTGTTTGTTGTGTTTGTTCGTTTGTTTGTGTATTTGTTTGTGTCATTGTACGTGTGTATGCATGCATGTGTGCTTGTGTGTATGTTTGCATTCCTGTTGTTGGTTGATGTTGTTGGTTGTTGTTGTTGTTGTAATTGTTATTGTTTCCCTGTCTGGTACTGGTTGTTTGTGCTTATGTTTTCATGTATGTTTGTCATTATGGTTTGTCAATTTCGTATATGATTGTTAATTGTATTTTGTTGCGTTGTTGATGTTGGTAAATGTTGTATGCGGTGTTGTGTTCGTTGTTTTTGTTGCCTCAGTGTGTCATGTGGTCAATAAATGCTATTTGTTTGTTTATAGTTCAATTCTTTTGTTTCGTTGGCTATTTGATTGCTTTCTTATTGATGTATTTGTCTATTTATTAAAGATTCCTTCAACGATTAGAAAGTTGGAGGGCCTATTGAAGATGAATGTTCTCTGTGATGTCCAATATTATAGCCAATATACTGGCTTCTTGGTTTGTTCATTTGTTTGTCTCTGATTAATTGATTGATTAACGAATTAATTAATTGATTGATTAATGAATTAATTAATCTGCTGATTGGTCGGTTGGCTGGTCAATTGGTTAATTGCTTGAATAAAGGCACAAAAGTTACAATTTATTATTGCACAAAATAATGAGCGAGAAAATATTTATTAGATTAACACCTCAAAATTTGCAGACAATGTTTGAGGATGTAAATGGTTTTGGGGCATGGCACAGAAGATGGTGCATGCTGAAAGGGAACAAACTTCAATATTGGAGGTACCCTGATGATGAAAAGAACAATAAGGTTGGTCGATCGGTTGGTCGGTCGGTTGGTTGGTTGGTTGGCTGGTCGATTGGTTAGTTTTGGTTGCTTGGTTGGTTGACTCTTTAGCTAAACGTTTTTTTGAGTCATTTGATTCCTTCATTGACTATGTGAATAGTTGAGTATTATAATTGGTATTCGGTGTGTCGATCTTTTTAACGATGAGTTACTGATTATTGGGGAAAAAATCAATTATTTTCTTTTGTCTGATAACGCATCACCATCTACTCAACGTAGGATTCGATTGGCTGCATTGACCTTTCAACCTGCGTGTATGAACAAGTAGGACCCATACCACGTGACATCTGCGCCCGCCCACACACTTTCCAATTGGTCAGTGTTAAAAATCGATCCACCAACGACAAGGAGACCCTGGTCTCAAAGTTGCACGGAGGCGTGGTTACCACCAAGTATGTGGCATCTGAAGATCAATTTTGATTGGTTCATTAATTTTGATTGGTTTATTAGTATTAATTATTATAATTGACAGATTAGTTAATATTAATAAATGTTAATAATAATTTACAGGCATTGGTTGTCGGCTGACGCGAAGGAAGAGAGGATAATATGGTGCAGCTATCTGAATGATATCCTCAATAACGTTAATCATTGGTCTAAATGTGTGAGCGGCTGTTTTGGCTGATCCAAAATAGCCTCCATAATCATCTTATGATTGATGCTTGTGTGTGTGATTTACTATGAAAGTGTGTGTGTGTGTTTCTGTGTTATCTGTTTGTGGTTTTGTGAACGTAATGATTTGAATTATTTGGATTTGTTAGAGAAACGACTTTGAAAAGTTTAACAACTTTTTAATACGCGTGTTAGAAGATGTTATGTTTTAGTGTGATTCAAATGATTTCAGTTTCTTTTTAATTCTTATTTTCAACATTTCCTCATTAATTAATGTTTGATATTGATGTTGCTTCGCTTGGTTACCTTGTATTAACAATTTTTTTTGTTTCTGCATATTTTTAACAAGTTTCCATAAATTGATGCTTCAATTAACTTAAATTTTTGATGATATTTGCTCAAAGTTGTAAATCAAAATATTTATCGTTACGTTGTAGTTGGATTGGTTTTTAACAAAATAATAATGTATTCTAATAATGGTGATATGAATTAGACGATTTTATCTCTGATTTTTTTAATGTTTTAGAAAAAATAAAAGGCGACAAATTTTGCTGGAGTTATAGATTATGATGATGTTTCATTACGATGCTGCTGCTTGTTTATTGTAATTATATTGAATTATTTGTCTTATGAAGATGTCGTAGCCACTGTTCCATATTTTGAGGTACTTTAACATAGAAATCAAAGGAATGCAAGATTCGAATTACAACCAGGGTGTCAAAGTAGGATAAAAGTATTTTCGACTCAGGTAATTTAATGAAATTGGGAAAATATCCAACTGCTGAATGGATCTTAATGTTTAGTGAAAGATATTAAAAACAAAAAATATGAAACAACATAATCAAGGCTACGAAACGTCACGACAATGAAATCTTGAGACAGTGAAACAATCATTTTGAGCGCTCCAAACGCTACGCAATTATGCATGAGGCTCTGTATTAACTGACATTAGTATTCCATCGTATTTGGGGCACTAATTTAGAAAAATTTTACGTATAAATGAACTTTATCACTAAAGTCACATGACAGTTAACACCGGATTGTGAATACTAAAAAGCATACTGTTTTTTAAAAATGAAAAGGTTGCACAGTTCGCACTTAATAGTATCCATTTCAGCATTAAAGATAATTTTGTATCGCTACGCATATATCTTCTATAAACCATGAACTTGAAAAATTATTTCTAGGAAAAACTTAAAAATTTTCTTCGAATTCTTAACACTTTACGAAGTTGAATGAAAAATATTCGATTAAGAAAATTCGAATCCGGTATATCTCCGACACTGGCCGACTTGACTCCTACAGTCGTACCGCTCACACTAATTGCATCAGATTTTAAAACAACACAGTCGTGTATGTTATACCACATTTAATATGATCATTAACAATGTTTTAGCACCGTAAAATCTTTTATGGTATAAAATATACTACTAGACATAAGGTGAGAAAACGTAAAAAACGACGCAAACACTATTCCGTGCCTATTTTATTGTGTTGACTCTGCACATTTATCCTCACTACTGTTAGCCGTGCTGCATTTGGTTGAAAAATTATCTTTCCAACATTCATTTTAAAAATTGAAGTTAAAACTATCAGCAGCTTTTAAACCAACTGGCTGGTAGCATATTCCAAATGTTTTCCGGAGCAATCCTGTCATCAAATAGTTGCAAACCTGAATTCTTGAATGAATTTTATCTAAAAGGACCCTCATTCAGCAAATGAAATAAAGCATTTAACAAAAATGCATTTAGTAAGTGATAGTTGGAAAAAGTAAATAAATCAAGAGCGGAAATAAAAGAAGGTAGTGTGAACACCAACCAACCCAAATAGTAAAGTTAAACGTCTCACCTAATACTGAAAAACAACTGTAGTCCTAGAGATAACTCTGTTTTAAAGCGTAATCACCTAATATATGAATTTAATTGCCCCTTTGTCGGCTGTGCACGTCAACATGACTCATATATCGGGATTACTGATAGAAGGCTTACGATGCACAAACAGAGTGGTGCTATCAAATCTCATTTGGACTCAACACAGTCAATCACTATAAGCCGTGAAATCCTCGACAGCAACATCAAAGTAATATACCAGAACACCAACTACATGCATCTTAAAATTGCAGAAGCAGTCCTAATTGACATCAATAAACAAAAAATAAATATACAACAAAAAATGACAGCCTCACTCCCAACCCGGCTCTTAATCAACAATGAAAACAAAGAAGTAATAAAAGCTAGCATAAAACTATTATTCAATATATGTGGATAAAAAGATGCATGTATATCGTTCGAACGAATGGCATGAGAAGAGGAGAACGCACCAGCGCTATTAAAACGTAATGGTTGCTAGGCGACCTAACTGTCGTCGTCTAAATTTCAGAATCATGAAAAATGTGTTAATTTTTTCGGTTATGTTTATCTCATGCATGTTTTTATAGGTTGTATGTATTAGTTCCAACATTCACCAATGAGAAACTTCAACAAAAAGTATTTTTTCTGCTGCATTCTCCTTTTTACCATTTTCGCCGCCCATACAATATGGAAATATCAGCAAACTAATGTAGTTTATCTCTCACAAGACGATCGTGATTATCCAAAACTCGACACCTGGAGTTATACGACGGAAAGTAAAGAGTTTTCGCGCTATATAAATTCAGAAATACCGAAAACAAATGGTGATCTTGACGCTGCTTTTGAGGTCATCAACGATGACACCATTTTACCGCCATCCGCTAGAATACGCGCCAGAAAACTTTTCACCAATAAATCATTAGTGATATGGGCAACAGAGTGGCATATGACACCAATTAAAGATGTTGAGAACCTACTTACGCCGTTTGGGGTCAAGGTTATAAATTATAACCTTGACCCATATAGGTGTGAATTTCAGAGGAAGGCTTGTGAAGCTAGAAAAAATTTGAAAGTAGGTTTGCTGTGAAGACTTCGTAGTAATTTTGATTATTTGTTTGTTGATGTTGATAATTCTGATGATGAGGTAATGATGTCGTTGATGACAGGTTTAATGGTGAAGTTGACAATAATGAAAATGGTAGTGATGATGTAAATGATGGTGCAATCATATAAATTTTGAAATCTTAAAAACGTAATCTCTTAATCTTTAATTTAAATAGCGTGCTATTGAAAATTGATGAATACAACACTACAAATCCTGAAACTTAGTTGAAGTATTAAACTATAAAAATAATAGTGTATAACTAACATTACTAAATTTCTGTTCTTAGGGCAAAAACACCCAGTAATCCAAATTTACCAACACACAATTGGATTCCTCAAACTTACAACAGAAAAAATATAATAATTGTTAACAACGATGCACGCACATATCTGTGCCTGTGCGTGTATATATTTATCAATTTGCTAATCTAATCTTTTTTTCTCTCTACCATTTAATTTATTCGCGCAACTCTCACAGGTATTGAATCCAAGCAACGTACTTGATGCACTACCAAAAGTGGTCGACAAGTACATTGAGACCTACAGAAACGACGCTGAAATGAATTCAGTTGATGTTGTCTACTGTGGCTACCCGGCTTCTCTCTGTGAAGTTTACGTGCAACTGAACAAGAGCGTGCTCGTTCTCGCTACTACTAGGTAGTTGTTGTTGATGTTTTTGTTGCTAACTGATAACGCAAAGTTTGGTGCTGTTTTTGGTAGCCAAGCAAAATCTTCGGTTGGTTTTGTCCATAGATGAATGGGCTGTATTTTTTGAGTTGTTAGAACAGTTGAAAAAGTGTTGTACATCGTAATGACTGTTGTTGCTTAGGGGGCAGTTGTTTGGCGTGTTTGGGTGATTCTATTTTGGTAGTCGTTGAGTAGTTGGCAGTGACCTGGTCTTTGTTGGTTTTTCTTGGTAAGGTTTATTCTACTAAATTGATTTCTGGTGTAGGAGGATGTCTTCCGTTGAGAAGGATTGATACTGTGTATCTGTAGTTATTGTTTGTGAACTTGTGTGATCGGTTGATCGCTTGTTGTTGGATCGTTTTTGTGGCCTTCGACGTGCAGATATAAATTATTAAATTGAGTTTTGATAATGCGTTTGATCTCGTTCACATCTAACCCCGTGTATTCATGATCCACATTTCACTTGATCCTGGATACATTTAATCCCAACTACACTCGATCCTTACTACACTTTACCCCTATCCGATTACACTTATTTACTAATTCCATTTTTTGTTGTTATCGTCAGCAGTTAGTGGCATTACATTATTATCAAAATTATTATTATTTGTATTATTAACCCTAACCCTTAGTTATTTTGAAAATACATCAACATACACAAGTGTATGTGGTAAAGTGTGAATTTGTGTCCATCATATACACTGCATGTGATGGACGGGGGTCCGTTTGGACTCGAACCCAGCCACTGCGGCAACAAAACCAGGCGTCTCAATCGTAGCATCATTTCGCTGCCCCCATGAAAACATGACATCAAAAGAGTTTTCTTAACGTTGAGGAATGTCTGCTGATAATTTTTATTATGTATTAAATCGACAATTGATTTCAATTAAACTAATTATTATTGTACGCTTCGTTGCTAGATACGACGTGGGAAGGTACACAGCCGAAAGATGGCGGAAACTGAATGACAACTTCAGAATTCTCGCCAAGAAACCATGGAACATTTTTGGTGGGAATAATCTCTACGACGCCAGGTTGCTTTCACTTTCACTTGTGTAATTTTAGTATATATTAAATATACTGCCACTATGGATCTAGCAATATTTTTCAACTCACACTGCTTCTGGCTTTCAACTTGAAGCATGCAATGTTTTATGAACAAACTTCCTAAATGTGTCTGGCTTTTTTCTTTGTATGCAAACAGAGTTGCAGATAGCGGTTTTACTCTTTTTTTACACAACTTTTTCTATAAGAGTTGCAGTAATGGTGCTACATCTCATTCGTAGTAGCGGTGGCAGCGTATTCTATGAGTGGCATTCATCACAATCAATAAAAGTCTAATAGCCCTTATTATCACTTTCATTAGTTACATAAGTTTTTTTTTGCAATCAACAATACTAATGCTCTTATTGTCACTACAACTGCTATTTCACTTGGTCATTGCGACAATCACCTCCATTGCTTACAATGAAACTGTGCTGCAGGTTCATTCAGTATTACACCGGTATAAAGACCCATCATATACCGAGCATGTGCGATTATACCGGGGCCGAATATACGAATACGAAGACAACATTCCTGATTTTGAGGAGAAGGGATAGAGGTTTCAACAACATTTTCTATAAGAAGTTCGAGGATGCTTGTCACTTGGTTATTTCCTTGTTGTACTCCGCATAGCAATTGACATTTATTCGTTTAGAAAGCCATTTTTATAAAACACAGACTATCTTTTTTGCGGTTTTATGTTTTTATATGTTGCCTATATATGCATTACTAATTAAATTTTAGTTATATTTTTTAAATATTACTTTTTGCACAGTAGAGCTATTTGTTCTCTAACTTACAGCGTTTAACCGACTTATTTCATTCTAATTTTTAAATATAGCTCGATGTCAATAAATCAATCAATTAAATAAGTTTGATTGAGATTTTTGCATTGTTATGTAAATTTTAAAAACTATTCTATAAGTAGTCTGCGCAGGAAAACAAAATATGGAGTTATGTGAGAAAAAATATTGAAACGAGCAACACCGCTAAAAACTTTTAAAAGATATAGTGTATGAAAGAAAGAAAGATGTGAAAGATAAAGTGTATGAAAGATATAGTTTATGAAAGAGTAGAATCAATCAGGAAGTCCATAGTAGAGTAGTTAATTCCAGATAAAACTAATGTAAGTAACATGTAAGAGTATAAGAGAAGAGTAGGATCGTCAGGGAAAGGCATTAGTTTTTTTTTTAATTCTACGTAGATGAATTTTCACATAAATGTTATCATAAATTTTAATCTGGAAGGAAAGAGACGTGCTAGAATCAAAATAAAACCAAGTCTACGGAAAATCAAGTGTTTAAAAATCAGGTAAGATATAGAAAGAGGAAACTTAAAGGAGTATCTAGACTTATTAAATAACGTTTGTTCGAATTTAGGAGGATTTAATTTGGGTACATAGGATTAGTCCATCCAAACGATAACAGAAGAAAGATATACAGATAAATTATGAAAAAGGACTACTATAATAAAATAAGATGAAGAAAAGGAAGTAGATATGACAGTCGTCAGCACATTATTGACTAGTAAAAGAACAGTTTTTAGAAATAAGAGATAGTTCAAAAGTAAAAAATCAAGAATAAATAGATCTGTAAGATACTGTCCCAGAAGTAAAAATGGAGGAAATGGAAGTAAAATTTTCAAGACAACTTTTGTATTTAAAAATGTGTTTATAAACAAATGTTAGCATAAACATACGCAACACACAGATCAATTGCTCAGCTAAAATAAAGTTGTTGGGCAATTATGATTACTCGAACCTGGCGAAACATCGTGGTGTGGTGCACGTTCCCTATCAAATATCAGTGATGAGCATATTCGAACAGTACAGAATGAACATACCGATGTTTTTTCCATCTCCAAAACTTCTCACCAGATGGCAGGTTGATCACTACATTATGCCAGAAAGGTAATTTTTTGTATATTCGTTTCGCAATTAATTCGCAGAGGTAAGGATAGCTTTTTTGAAGTCACAGCATCTACAAATTATGTTTTTCAATAATTTATGAATAAATCTTGTTTCTAATAAGTCTTACTTTCACCTAAATAGTAAATTAAAAAAATTGATATTACAAAGAATTTAGGGGAGATGGGGGCTCATTGATCTCTGGGGCACATTGATCTTTAAGCAATAACATAGCTATTTCTAAATATAAATGTAGGCCATCACTATTTTAGTTTTCCTTTTGTTTCTATTCTACTTTTAATCCTATTTGTTTATGGACTTTCTGCCGCTGAAGTTCGAAAAATTCGTAAGTTTGATTTTACAGGGAAAAACCGACTATTCACAACAGGTTAGTTTTGTAAATTAAAAATCAGATAAATATTTGTTTGATAAATTAAATTTTGCAATGTGTAAAGATATGTCAGAGGCTTATTTTATTATTTACTTCGATTTTCAATCACAACTTATTGATGAGATATCGCCATTATAGTGTGCTCCATGCCATGGGGGCTCCTTGATCTGTACTAGTAAGGGGTACGTTGATCTGAAGATCAAAGTGCCCCTACTGTCTTCAGATAATAATTTTCCAGGATGTTTAGTCATTTTTCTCTAACCATGCAAAATGCTATTTTTCCATTATTGTAAAATGTAATTTGTGTACTTTGCAGGTTTGGTTTCATAATGGTGAGATATCGGGAGCGAAAAACTAATCGAGGTAAAACACCTGTTGAAGTGATGAGAACAGCAGTTGATGAAGTTCTGAAAAAGAACAGAGCTATCAATGCTGTTGCACGTGAAACTGGAATTGACCGAATGACATTGAAGCGATATGTTCGGAAGAGTAGTCTCAGTCCAAGTGTAGGCTTGATACCGAATTGGAATACAAGGCAGGTATTCAATTTAGAACAAGAAGAGATGCTTGCAAAGTATTTGCTGCAAGCATCTAAGATGAACTATGGACTATCCACCAAAACAACTCGCCAGTTCGCATATGATATGGCCGTTGCGAATAATATAACATGCCCATCTTCATGGTCAATGAAAAAAACTGCTGGTATTGATTGGCTCCAGGGTTTTATGAAAAGAAGACCCGAGTTGTCACTACGTGCACCTGAAGCGACTAGTCTGGCAAGAGCAACAGCATTCAATAAATATAATGTCAGTGAA